GGAGGATGATATAAAAAGACACGTACATTATTGTACTGTATTTCAATCAAAATATTTGGTTATTTCTTTTTAATACTGAATCATTCGTTGATGGCTGTGGGAGGTCAGGGTACCGGCAGAGTGGCGGTTAGGCGTCGCAGAGCACCAGAGAGTGCTTTTGGAGCGGCTCTGATGCATGTATCATTACTGTTCACAAACAAATTAGTAAAGTAGTGGGCTCAGATTATTTTAAGCTATGCTCTAATTGTGTGCATTCATCTATTTTATTGCTTTATTTTGTTTGACCATAATAGTTATGAAACTTTATTGCCCCGCATTTTTCAATTCAATATATTCTGAGTGATGTCTTTTGTTTCGCCTTATTCCACTTGAATGCATAACTTTCTGAATGAGCAAATATCATAATCCGTCATAAATTTGTACGAGTCCATTGATAGACTCGTGTAAAATTGTCCCGTATTAATTACATTATGTATGAATATAAAATCATGCAAGGATGTTTTAGAATTTTCAATTTCGATAAGGATCTGAACTGTTTGGAACTATCATTGATGATGCTCGCAGCATGATCATTTTCAAATACTGATTTTGCAGGCCATAGTTTTAAATGCGTGGCAGACTTTGAATACAGTTTGCGGAGCCTTTTTGATAGGCCGGAGAAGTTTGTTCCGGAGCATAATCCTAAAATTTAACCCACTGATGTTTTTATAAAAAATAGTTTATTTTACAGCTAACAACTTAAAATACCATGCAAACTGATATTAAGAGAATTTTAAGGCTACAAAATTGAATCGGAACCTTTTTCTATGTTAATTTTAGAAACCCTACTCACTTCTCAGGATTAAAGATCTATATCGTATACCATCAGTTTAGTGCTGCTTAACTACCTACATCAAAAGAAAATCATAGGACTTTCAAAGCAAATTCTTCACCAATATGAGCACTGACCTTTGTTTTGGGAAGAGTGTAAAACAAACCACAAAATAATAAGAACTAAAATTTAAGTAACATCAAACCCGGTGCGGTGGTATACTGAAAGCGTTAAACCGTGATTGAAAATGTTTTCTGCTGTTTTTAGGATATCAGATATCCTCTTACTTCAAGAGGATGACAGCAGTGGAGTAAATATTATTTGAATTTTTTCACTGTTTTTCCTGTTTTTTTTATATGTCTTATAAATGTTCTTGCTGTTCTTCCTGTTTTTCGATATTTTTCAATAACATGGGTGAATAAAGTGTTTTCGCAGATTGATGTAAACACGAAGATGGCTTAAGTTCAGTAAAATGGTTTCAAAAATAATGGGTAGAGCGATCGATGGACTACTGGGCTGAACGTAGAAACTGCGTCGCATACTTTACCTTAAAACAATTCACGTACAAAACGAGGGCTGGATTAAGGGGGTGGCCACATGGGCCGTGGCCCATGGCGGCAAATCTGAGGAGCGGCAAAATTTGCAATTTTTTTAAGTGTAGGTATGTAAAAAAATCGGATTTAGACAAAAAAAATTACGAACGAGAAAAGGCGACAAAATCTCTCATTTACTGAGAGTATAGTAATTTCTAATTTTGTTGTCTCTAATTGATACAAGAGACAGTGCCTTCAATTAGTCGAGTTAAGAGAGAAACCAAACACGCAATTTGGCCTGAAACGGCGTGACCTAGAGAGAAATGAAAACGAGGACTTGAGGTGAAAAAGAGAAGCCCTCGGCGCGGCGATCGGCATGTAGCACATATTAGCGCCTACACGACTGCACGAATACTTCACTCATTGCATCAAACACAGTGCGGTCATTGCGGTCAGCGTGAAACGGATAGCGCCTACAAGAATGCATGAATACCTCACGCATTGCGCCAAACACAGTGCGGTCAGCGTGAAACGCATAGCGCCTACAAGACTGCGTGAATACTTCACGCATTGCGCCAAACACACACGGAAAAAACGGGTCGGGTCCTGCGGCGCAAGGCCCGGCCCCAAACCCGGGTAGGTGAAATTGCTTCACCTAAACCTCGGAGGGTCAGGCCCAAGCTGAAGGTAGGGTCCAGCCCTACCTGCATATCGAGGCTGAGCGTAAAAATCCGTGCCCTCGCATGGATTCGAACCCGCATCGCTGAGATGGTAGACCAGCGCGTTACCACCAGGCTACGAGGCCTCGATGACTGTGGCGCCGAATTTACGCCTCTTAAGTGTAATTCCCCCTCTCGGCATATCAATGACACCTGATCATACGGGTATCAGTCCTCAACTGGCGTTCAGCGAGAAATGACGTTATTCGCTACTCCTGCGCATGCGCGCGCATGCGCAGTAACTAAAACCACAAAACCCAGTCGGTGGCAGCCAGAGACAAGAGACCCTCCACTGGCCTCTTGGCGACAGGTGGAAGCTTTTACTTTCGGGGATTCAACAGTTCCTTATGGACAATTAGAAGGGAGCAACAGTTATCACCTTAATTTCGGCTGTTGACCTACCTACATGGTCGATGATGAGCTTCGGTTGACGTCATGAGCCAAACAAGTTTCCTAAACTTCGGCCATTTTCGGCTTGTTTTCAAAACAAAACTGCCAACACGTTGTTAAACATCAACCATGTAGGTAAGTCAACAGTAGAATGCTGAAGTCCCGAAAGTAAAAGCTTCCACCATGGCCAAGATACTGGTGGAGGGTCTCTTGTCTCTGGTGGCAGCGTTCGCAACTAGCTCATGGAGGTCTGGTGCCTGTAATCTGTAGGGACGTGAGCTACCTCTCACTGCCCTACCTCTAGTTAGGGCCCCATCCTAAACTCGTTTTTTCCGTGCAGTGCGGTCAGCGTGAAACGCATTGCACCTACAAGACTGCGTGAATACTTCACGCATTGCGTCCACCACAGTGCGTTCAGCAGCGGTCGGCGTGAAACGCATAGCGCCTACAAGACTGTCTGAATACTTCACGCTTTGCGCCAAACATGGAAGGCCTTGTCAACACAGCGATAGGTTTACGAAACTTAACTTTCGCGCAAAGTTCCGCGAACTTTTGCTAGCACTGTTGACCAGTGGCGTGGCGTGAACTGCGATGTATCAATTGTTATGCCATTTAAACCTGTGGTAAAGAATCTGTTATTGAGGTGTTCGCTGCGAACACCCTGTTTATCGATCCTTTTCCATAGGTGTAAATGGCATAACAATCGCTATATCGCAAAGCATGCCACGCCACTGCTGTTGACAGGGCTTTCCCAAAAAATGTGTTCGACACGAGTAAATGCGTCTTATGCACCCCTCCCCCGCTGGCACGTTCACTTGATGGTTTTTATCGAGTTTCAAAACGAATGAGAAGGGGGTGGCAAAATACATGCGGCCCATGGGCGGCAAGTGGGTGAATCCGGAAACGACTGAAGAAATATTTAAAAATTTTCAATCGATGCTTCAAAAGTAGGGCGGGGGGGGGGCTGCTTAAATGGGCTCAATAACGATTGAGTCGTTATAGTTTTGACGTAATTGGACTATGACTTCAATTTGTTATTTCATTGCATGGTTACATGGCTTGACAAAAGAGGAGGGCATGTGCGCATTAGTCTGAGTCCCATTGCCTAAAATGTTTCCAAAAGTAGATTAATTTTCCTGATATTGAAGAATACCAACCTTTATCTGAACGGATCTTATTATTTTAGCTAGTCTAAAAGATAAAAGCATCAAAACACGCGATTCTATTACCAGCACAACTGACACATTGTAAGAAACACGTCAAAAACGTGATTTCATGTCAATTGACAGATAATCAGTAAAAAGCCGATGACTCGTTTTCCTTTCTTCCGCTTTTTTTTTTGTTCGTTAGTTACTTAGTTAGCTAATTCAATAAGACGATCGACAGCTTGTTGATAAAAATGTAACCGCAGCAAGTACACAATATTGTAGTGAGTAGCATATATCGACTGTGTAAATTAGAAAAATCACATAACTCGGTTTGCGACGTCGCAGACTTCCTGTCATGCTTCATTTTTTAAACCGAAAACTAATCAACGGCAATTCTTTAAAACTGCCTTGATTTTTCTTCTCTGTGCGGGGAAAATCCTGCATAAACTTTAAGGAATGATGCCAATTTGCTCTTCTTTAAAAAATAATACAAAGGCGGAGAGTTTTAGACACCGCAAACGAGATATGTGATTGCGGACCTACGCCGGCCGTCGATATGATCTGCGAGCACACCTCTCTTTATTCCCCTGCTTGCTTCGTTTCTGAATCGAGTCCGGGCTCAAGAGAGTTTCATTTTCGTTGCTGCAGAAACTTACAGAGCCCGATCAGAGTTGCCCAGGCTTTTTGCAACGAACAACTGCCAAGGTCGGCCTAGATTTCTCCACACTCAATTCGCTCCGATGCGCGATGCTACGTTAAAAAGACTGCCTGAAAGGGAAAAATGAACTCCAAGATGCTACCGAGTTTAATTTTGAATATCGTAACTTCCAGGGATTTATTCAGTTCTGAGAGTCGCTCCGCTTCCTCTCGGATATTTCTGCAGGAGCCGTAAATCGGGCTCATTCTAACGACGTATGGAAACCATAGTTGCCAAATTTCAAGGAATTAGAGACGTTAATATAACCGAATAAAATCGGCTAAACATACTTTCTTCATTTCATGATTTGGGGTCATGAAGTCTCCGCCCTTCAGCCAAAAGAACGTAAGCACTTTTCAACGCTGCAAAATTTCCGTTCGGAAATTTGACTTTCATTGAGAAATTATTGGGCATTTTTATATAAAAATTTTGTTGATTTTCCCTCTGATCATACGCAAACATCAACTTTTCGGACAGAAATTTCACAGTCTGATTTTCATGAAAACTCGAATCGTTTTAGGTAATGTTGTGACCAGGTTATACGCTCTTAGGTCTAGAGAACGGTAAATTTTTTATGACTTATTCGACTTTAACCCTCTTGTAGCCAAAATATCGCAAACAAGAAATGCCCTTTCCGCGCCCAACACGTCAATTTGGAACGTTATGGACTTATGGGAAGAAGTGTGAGGGTGAATACTTTACCTCGTTCTGGTATTGGCTCCGATATACTTGATTTGAGCTGCACTTGCGTTGTGTTTCTGTACAAAGTAGTCACTAGTGCTGTACATTTAAGCTCTAAAATTCCTCGATTGCTAAAATATTGGGGTTCTAGGACGACCTCGAGAGACAGCGAACTCCATTGCCGAGAATCTTCGGTGGAAAATACAAAGCTGTCCTCCGGCTTTCCAACCTGCAATTATAAAAATGGAAAAAATTATATAAATTAGCAAATCCACAATTGAAACCATGATTGAAATTTCAAAGAGGAGGATGATGGTAACGTCATTCTATAGGCGGATACAGACGCTTCGAACGAGGAAGGGGGGGGTGGATCCGGGGGACTCCCAGAGAAAATTTTTGAAACTCTAAAGCATCTAATATACAGTTTTTTGAGTCAATTTTGTCATTCATGATTACCAAATATAAGCGTCCTTCCTTTTCCTCTCCTCTCTTCCTTCCTCCTTTCTTCCCTTTTTCTTCCTCCTTTTTTTCGGGCGAACGGGGAGGGGGCATGTCTCCCCCTCGCCTGTATCAGCCTGTACGTAGACCATTCTCATAATTTTCACCATCAGATTTCTACTCGAAGTCTCTTAAGAACACAACTAATGTAAATAGCGAATAACATCAATCTTCAAGAGAAAAATATTTCGACGTTTACGATCTGTTTCGGCCTAGCCTCAAATGGAGGCAGACTGCGTTTTTGACGAAACCGGGCCTGCCATCAGTGTTTGCTTTCATTTTAGACAAAAAAAGTCTCTATTCCGCGATATCGTCAAATCCTCAGAGATTAGTTCCCAGTTGCTATACGCATTTGTTTGTTAAAATGTATATAAAAAAATCGATATTTATAAAGGCAAGCTCATAGTCGATAGTCACGATGTATTTAAATCGAGGCAAAACGGTGCAATTATACACCAATTTGCAAAACTTGCCACTAGCTCAGCAGACTAGCTGCCTAGCTTACGTAAAGACTCGCCGCCCATAAGTTTAATATATTCGTAAATTTGCTTAATCGTAATTACAGTCTTCTAGAACTCAGCAGAGATTGCTGTAACTCGGGAAATTTCAGTAATTCTTGCTGCACTCCCGCGGACCGTTAAGTGCGTCAATAAGTTTCCAATCAATCGTGAAAGTCGCAAAGCACTATATTGATTAAGGACTTGGCAGGTTTCTCTCCATCTTATTGGAATCGTCACTACATTTCCTTCCTTCTATAGAATATTCTATTTGTTAAAATTTTGAAAAGTAACGTTTGATCCTTACAAACAGAACAAATCCTGAACAAATTAATGGATTATTAGTGGATAATTTTAAGTGGATTATTAATTATCATTAATTAGTGGATATTTTAAATTATGCCATAATAGACTGATTTAGTGGCTACGTCAGCACGTCATGGCTCAATCGTAAATAAACACGTAACCTGGTCTTTGATTTGCGCCCTTCGTGTCATGGTGGTGTAATGCGTCCAAGTGCTTCTTTCACTCCAAATGTCTCGCATGTAATGGATGTCACAACTAACTCACTCAGAATTAGTACAAGAGGTTATGTTATTTGATTTGATTTAAGCCACTGAGTTCGATATTTCATGTCGAATGACGTAGTTACTAAATCAGCCCATAGAGATACGTGTTTTACGACTCTCATCATAGATATGCGTTTCTCAGTTTCTTTTTCCTCTATTATTACCCTAACTAGATTTTTGGTAGAAACGATGAACCTCCGAAACGTTGCAATCAAATGTTCGTGATTTGCGATTCTCATTATCAAAATGCATCACTGAGATTTTCCCCTCATTTTCCGACTGGATGTTCGGTAAAAGCGATGAGGTCTCCTATGTCCGGCAGTGGTGTATCGTCAAAAATCGATGATCGATATTTATCAATTTGGAGCTATTGTAGAGAATCGATCGTTAAAGTGTTCGTTGCGAACTCCCTGTCTATCGATCCTTACCCATAGCTTTAAATGGCAGATCAGTAGATAAATCGCAAAACTGATGTGTTCAGATCGCGATGAAGCAAGTTGGAATTTCGAGTTAATCCATGGACGAGAAACAATCAGGCGGCATGAGGCAGGTCGAGGGACAATTGAAAAATCACAATCCCTGACGCTAGTGCCGTATCTATTTGCCGGCAGCGGCAAGGCAGGAGCTGACGCATTTACGGTGGATATTGTTTCATCATTAATTAACAAAGAGGAGTGAAGTTAATCGTACCTAAAATAATATTGATTGTTTATTTTGAGAGGGGCCGGGGAAACTGGCTTTGAGCCACGGCTCACGGACGCCGCGCCAGTTTGTCGCCCCCCGCATCTAACTATGACACTCTTGCCAGATTTAGCGGATTAAATACTTGGAACTGCCTTAAACTGCCCAATATCCATTAAGATAGAAAATTATATTGATAAAAATACAGATTTATAAGGATATCGAAATTTCGGCGTAGAGTAATTGATAAGTTCCTCGATGTCAAGTACTGAGAGATGTTTTTAATTATCCACAGGAAAAAAATCTCTCGGATCAAGAGTCTAAAATTTTAAAAAAGTTGAGGTTCTCTAGATGCCTGTAGAAGTGTAGGCTCCTCTACCGGAGTAAAAGCCACTGACATAACATAGAAAAAAAGTGGGAGAAAAAGAAATTGAAGGGTCTCAGAATATGAAAATGGTGTTGGTCTTCTAGATCCTATCCTTATTTTCTTCAAAACAACCACCACAAATATTCCTAACGTACACCAAATAATTCCTGCTCCTAAAAAATTATAATAAATGTCTCTAGATGTATGTAGGCTTCTCTACTGGATTAAAAGCCACTAAATTAACAAGAAGAAGAAGAGATCGAGATTATTGTTTTCTTCATAATCAACCAGCAAACATATCGATCTATCGAATGACGTAGTCACTAAATCAGTCTGCAGCGACTCTTCATATGCAGTGATAACCGTGCATTTCGGCAACGTCGAGCGGAAGGAAAAATGAGGGAAATCGTGCTCGACTATAGGTCGCGAAGTCAAAAGGGCCGGTGGTGGAGGGGGGCTCGTCTGCACCGTGTCGTACGTCTCTGTGGTTGAAGAGCAAGCACGGTTGTACAAATGTTTCCAATGAGCCCGTATCAGTCGGCTGGTAACTTGCTGCTTGCAACACGACTCCGAGCGGGGTGCGGGACGGTCGAGCCCCCCGAGGGGGCGAGGAGGGGGGATGTCACCCCAAATTAACCACTCGTCACGAGGAGGCCATGTCCGCTGTCCGCGTCATGCGAATCTGGCGTCACAAGCGCGAGGGAAACTGAATTATGAAGCGGCCCAGGGACCCGACGAACGAATCGCGACTGTCACCGATCAACGGTGGATAGCAACTTCTCGGTGTTCGATCACCTACATCTCTGATGTGATAGCGAAGAGAGCCGTAAGTCCAAAATTGAAGTTTTTTTTAAAAAATACATGGACTCGGTAGTGTCTCAGAGGAAAAAATCTATTGAAATAAGCCTCCGTCTTTTGTCATGTTACCACTAATCATCCGAGAGACTCTTAGAAATTTATTCGGCGATTAAAATCGCCGACTTTATTTAAACTTTGTACGAAAGGTATTTTACATAGATATGTTAGGCTAGTGGAGGGAAAGGCAGCCATAAGTGCTATCTTCAGCCTGCTTTAATGATAGCAGCATTTTGGACACGCAATGAACAAATTCTCAGGTTAAAAATTGACAGAAAAAGGCGACATGTCACTTAAAAGTATATTGCTAGATCATTGATTCTTTGGCGGAATAATGCTTCTTGTAGCTGTTTTGTTTGAAACAGAGTCAATTTCTGCGCACTTACGGTTTCCTAATATGTCTCGTTCTCTTACAAATCAGGAGAACTGTGCTGTTCCAGCTGGTAAACATCTGAGGCAGCCGGCGACCGGCTGACGCAGCGGTCGCCGCGGAGCGCCTACGAAACTGCAGGAATACTTCACGCATTGCGCTAAACAAAAGTGCGGTCGCTGGTCAAAGCGAAACGCACGCTCATGGGCAATTCTACGAAAATAGTCCAACTTGACCTTTAAAAAACTTAAAATTCAACTTGATTATTTTGGATCGAGGGTTTTTTTTCTAGTCAAGTATAGTAAGAGGCTTAAAAATTTTATACGGATACCTTTTGTTATGTGGCATTTCCCATTTCATTTACACAAAAAAAAATCATAAAAACCCTCCATAAATACGCCTGCATCAAAATTTAAACCATTTATGACATTTACGAAATGAGCTGTGTGAGTTATAACAACGACCATGGTCTGAATTCATGCTGGATTCTGCTCAATCCATGCAACTCTGTAATTTAATTTCTAACCGAAAAAAATTATAAAAGAATAAATACAGTAATCAGCAATGATTCCGAAGTATCAGAGTTGTGAACTGTGTAGAGAAAGAGAGATGGCGATGGTAATGGCGCAATTGTAGATTAACCAAGCTCGATAAATAAGTGATACATCGCGAAGGGTTTCCAATTGTGTATTTGAAAAGGGGCCGAATTGATAAAATATTTTCCCGCATAAAACTAATATTATTGAAGTTTCTACCCTCACTCTGGTTCTTTTTATCTCCGTGATAGTTCATTGTTCTGTGGGATTTACCTATCCTTCGGCACAAGCTATAACTCCCGATATACAATTAAAATTTTAGGTCCAGTATCGTTAAGAAAGATTAACTGTTTAATTAAATCAGATAAGTGTGATAATTCACTGGCTCCCTGTGTGGTGTTACAATGAGTGGACGTTTCGTCCTAGCATACGCGAGTTGTGCGATGTGCTTCATTCGTATATAATTTAGACTCAATTTCAATGGGAGTAGCGCAAACAGAGGTACTTACATAAAATGCTTTTTATGCATGTATGCACTACTTCCAAAATTTTTAATTTTCAGCTGAATTTGAATGCAAGGATCGTCGTTTATTTATAAGTCTTCATACATATCTCTATCCATAAAACTTTAAGCAAAGGAAACTTGCAATATTTTATGAAATTCGTCCGTAGCATTTTTAAAGTTTCGACCGGTCACGATTTTTTGAAACTGACTTCATAATCATTCAATGAAATAACTACTGCTCAATCAACAATTCAACCCACTATATGGCATGAAATAATTTTGGATTTTGGATTCTGGGGGATACATTGTTTTTCTACTGTATAGTAGATGCATAGTCCCATATCCACCTTG